TAAAGTGTTCCAAATTCCCGAAGGCTCTCGGTTTGAAATTTGATGATGAACGAGTTGAGCGATGATCTGTCACAGAAGACACAAGAATCATTATCGTCATATCTAGATGGAACGAGAATGAGTGGAGCAGAACGTTTTGTTAATTGCAGACGAACTCAAAAGTTGGTTGCATAACTATTTGCTAACATAGAAAAAGTCTGGTTACTGTATTGTGACGGGAACGTGGCAAACATGGAAATATTATACAGATTGCTAATATTACCTAACAAGTCCCCATTATTATGATGGATGGTTGTCATATGTCAGAGTTGAACCTTTCAGCATACTTGCAAAGGGCAGGACTAGTTTTTTAGCAATATTTCCCGGTTTTTAGCAATATTTTTTCAGAAACAATTTTTTTAAATTTCGAATACCCAGACCGGGTCGGACCGGGCCCGGCAGGACAAATCGCTGGCCGGGACGGGCCCTGATTTCTCAAAAAAGCTTTTCAGAACGGACAGCATCAACCAGAATTCAATTCTACGGTAATTCACACCTGTTGTCTGGTTCGAAAAAAAAAGGAATTTGAAAAACAGCCGTTGTCAATGTCATGAACATTGTCCTTCCTTTCTCTCGACAAGCTATTCGATTACCGATTTAGTACATTCCGTGAGGAGATTTTCTATCTTTTTGTATGGCTATTCATTTGGAAATGTGCAAGGTTATCCCCAAACGACATGAATAGAAGAATACCTCCACATCTAAACGGTCAGAGATTTAATGAGCTGTTCGATGGGATTCGACAGAAAAAAAACCACAAGAAAAGAAGAGAATGAGGGAAAATTCTTGGAAAGAAAGAAGGGATAATCAAATGAAAAGGAAACATTTTAGACTTGACATAAGTGAACGGAAATATAATTATAGGGTCCAGTGGGACTATAAAGCTTTCTGTTGGGCGGTGTCCACCACCGCCAAACAGTGGAGACTGCAATAACTCAACGATTTATAGGCCATTTGTTGACATCCACCCGTCTGCCATACCATGTAAGACGAGATTTCTCGGGTTCAACCCGAGAGTGTCATTCTCACTCATCCGGAAATTAGGGATATTAGAACGAGAACAACAACAAGAATATTTGAGTCTTTGGACACACATGAAAAAGTTATTTAAAAAGATTGCATCGACCGGGAATCGAACCCGGGCCGCCCGCGTGGCAGGCGAGCATTCTACCACTGAACCACCGATGCGATGAAATAAAGGGTTTGACTAGTTGAATGCATGGTAGACTGGCGCCAGCCAACAAGTGGAGAGTAGAAGAACAAGTAAGGAGAAAAATGAATATACTGGTCACCTTTCGGAGAAGAAACCAAGTAGGAATGAAGATTAATTGACTCTCGCACTGGTAGAAAAAAGAAGAGAAGAAAGAGATAATCTGATTAGTGATATCCCATGATAATGATAAATTACAGTCATTTACGATGGTCCGAAATGGAGAAGAAAAGTGAGGGTTCGTCCTTGTGAACATGGTGCATCGTACACATTCATTCTCATTTATCTTCATTTATTTGGTGAGAAGAAGAAGAACAAAGAACGGGCGGCCCCTGAACATTCAAATTCAAGGATGAAAGGAGAATGAGGATTCAAATGTTGTGTTAGGGATCCGAAAAGCTTTTTTTTGCGAAAAGGGTGGGTTTTTGGTTGTTGTATTTATCACTAATAGCTGGCTGGAGAGCCACAAGCTCGTTAATGACTAGAAAACATGTGATGGATGATTATAATTTACTTGGGGGCATTGAAGAAGATAAATGACAAATAGTCGCTTTTTCGTGGCGAAGGACTGTCCCGTTTTTGATAACATTGAGAGAATGTGCCAAAATTCTAACAAGTTTGAAAATACGTACCGTAAACCTTGTAATGGAAGGACCCTCCAACTTCAAAACTTGAGCCAATTTATCTTGGCTCTTTTCAAAGATATTCGAAAGTTATCAACTGATGAATTGTTTATCATAATATCAAAGGTTTTTTTTTGAGTTAACACATTTTTGATACCTTGTCTAGGAATTAAGATAGTTAATCTCAAACTTGTCAGTGTGGGTGCCCTTCTATTACAGGTTTTACGGTATTCAAAACTAGTCAGCAAACTAAAAATTTTTCTAACTAGCCTAAATTCAAGTCTATGGTAGTCGGAAAGTTACCAATATAAAACGAATCCTACAAAGTTTTCAATAATTCAGAAAAAAGTCTTGTCCAAAAGTACATAAATCTCATTCGGAAATCCTCTTAACCAAACAAACTAAACAAAAAGTCTCAATGGGGAAAAAAGTAATGAAAAGCTTTGAAAGATGAGAATAGTTTACCTATGACACCTATACGAATGGCATCTCTCCCTTCCTCTTCACCTACCAGACAAGTAATTGATACGAGAAAAAGAGAGAGAGAGAGAGAGGACCACCTCATTTTGTATTCAAAAACCAAAGAGGTCCCGTTTTCTTTAGACAAACATTCCAGAAGAATGACGAAAGAAAGGGGGTAAGAAGAAAAAAGAAAAACAACGAATGGTAAGGTGTCAGATTTTTTGTGCCATTTCCTTTCTCAGATAGATTTCTCCTTCCGCTTTTGTTGGTTTTGTCATCCGAGATGATCGTCGTGCTTTGCATACTGAATCATAACAAAGAATGTACTAAAATAGGGATGAACAAAAAAAGAAAGAACGACAGAAAAGTAGGTGACTGGGAAGGAATGGATCAAGGTTTAATGCAGATAGGGCCTTTTGAAATAAGTACGGGAAGAAAAGGATGGAAGTACGGTAGTTCTGTTTACAAGGGTTTCAAAGAATTCCCGAATGACTTACGTTCTTTTATATACCGCAATTTTCTAGTTAGTCTTTAGACGATCCGCTTGATTCAATTACGAGTTCTGCCAGTCATGAATTCTACGAAGTCTATTAATAATTGGCTATACCAAGATGTTCCCACTTTATAAAGTATACTGTCAACCGGGTCAGAAAGAATAATAAATTCAAACGAAACTCTTAAAATCACGAGTTCTCTGCGCTCTCTTCACTCTCCTACACTATTTCTATTAGTTTATATCATTTTATGCACCACCATCCATCCATCCCCGTAACGAATCGAACCAATAAATATTTGGTATTTTTCCCTTCTTCTTCTGGATGATTCATTTTATTCGCGATTTCTAACAAACAATACATCTCTGTGAGGAAAGAGAATGATTTTTCCCACACTTTACATTTCAGAAAGTAAGGGAGGATAGCAAAAATTTTGGGAGAAAAAAAAATGGAACTCTTTGGAAGGCATTCGAGAGCCTGAGGGTAAAAAATAGAACGGATGAATATTTTATGAGCAAGCAAAAATAGTAAACGTTCATTAGTTCCAAGGATTCATAAAGTAAGGCAAGAATTTTTCAGCTCCACTTCACTTCGAAACTGCGACACTTCGAGACCGCGGTAATTCGGGACACAGTCTTAGGGCTTTCAAATATCGTAAACACTCTAATAAAACGACACCCGAATCGTCAAATTTGAGCCCATGTATCACATTTTCTGTGAGAGATATCAGAAAGTAATTGACTAATATAATAAAATGTTGCTGATATCATGATGAACATTTTATTAGTTGTCAACTTGTGGATATCTTTCAAAAGAAGTGAGATATATAGGCTCAAAGTTGAGGGTCCGGGTAGCGTTCTATTAGAGTGTTTACGGTATGCTAGTTCTGATAGAACGCATCCTGAAACTGGAACAAATTAAAAATTTTAAATCAAAGTTGGGATTTTTTCAAATTTCAGAATATGTTCTATCAGAACAAGCATATTTGACAACCCTTAAAATTTTTGTAGTCTGAAATTTACTCATTCGCCTGTACTACCACGGTTTCGAAATGACGTGGAGTCGAACTTTCTTCAATCCCACTAGTATAAAAAATTGGAGCTGGGGGAGAGAAACACCAATGGTCGTAGCCGTTTAAAAGTTTGATCCTCAGCCACATAATTCAGCAGCGATTTTTTTCTAAAATCTCACGTTCACTGGGGCGCGATTTCTGACCCTTGGCTTGAACCCAATTGTCTACGAGAAAATTAATCCTGAAAGTAAAAATATTTTCAGGTTACAGTAGTTGTTGCGTTGGGATCTTCGGCCACGGCCACCGGCGTTTCTCTTTCACAGTTCCATTTTTTTTGCACCAGAATAATACTTTCTGTTGTTCTAGAAGTTCGTTTTTAAAAACGAAACAATGAGTAGACTTGTCACTCAAACATCACATTTTTCATTTTCTGTCCATATTTCGAGAGAAATATTGTACGGTAATCGGTTCAAAAACTCATCGATCAGTGTCTTCTCTCCACAAATCCTTTTCTTTTTTGCGGCGATGTCCTCGTCCCCATGTCTTTTCTTTTCGTTTTGCATTGAGTAATCCATTGGCGAAAAATGACAAATTACTGGTGGGGGATTATTAGACAAAACTAGGAAATTCATGTTCCAAGTGGACACATGGAACATTTTGAAGTTTCCGAAAAGGAAATAGAAAAACGAGGGAGAAGAGTTAGGAATTCATGAAAATCCATTCGAAGAGGGGAAACGAATAGCACCAAAAAACCGAACACGATATCATGAATTTTAAATTTATGTCTTTTTTGTGTCGATTTTTTTCTATGGTACGAGTTTAGTACCAACAGATGGCTCATCAGTAATTGTTAAAACTGTACATTGACAAACAAATGACGGAGGAATTGTTGCCAAAAGCTGGTGTTTGTGTTCTGGTTATTATGGGAGCACTGCTCATCAGTAGAAAAAGGATACGGTGAAAATTTCTTGAAAAACTTTTGGGCTCTAAAAACTGAGAATACGGTAATAACAAAAAGTTATCAAGTTATAGAAAACATGTTCCAAAAGAAAAGTAATCTATCAATGTCCAGGCAGTCACCTCAACGACATAAAGATGTAAACTTTGGGGTGGGCTCATCTCATCACAAAAAAGTGCGCGGAGCATCTTGATGCGGGACTTCAAAGCGGTATCCGATTCTTCTTCTGACAACAGCTGTCATCCTTTCGTTTTCCCTTCCCAACCACCTCGTCCACACTCGATTTACGATCGATGTTTTTTCGATTCCCGGATGAATTATTGGCCTTGTCAGGTGCACACATTGGAGAAGAAGAAAAAGAAGCTAGGAATTGAGAAGGCACCCATTTGACTCCCGATGGTGGACTGATCAGAAACACGATTTTATGAGACTTGAGGGGAAGGAAATAAATGAAAATCGGGCTGATGAGAAAATGATGGGGATAGATAGACAAGTGAATGAGAGCTAAAATAGTTGGACTGATTTCGTTTCTCAAAGACATGTATGGCTAATCATACTATTCAAAGGTGGTGTGTGGTGAATATTTTATAAAATCTATGTAGATTCACACAAAAAATTAGGAACAATTGAAAAAAAAATCCTAAAATGAGAGAAGCAGTATCGGAAAAGCGAAGTGGAATCCGGTGGCTGGCGGCCGAGTGTGAGTTTTCTAGTCCCCGGCCAGCGCGCGGAAGTTTCGTATTTGAATTTTTCAGGGGTTTTCAGAATTGCAACCGTTTTCTTACGAAATCGTTCGATTTTTACCCTTGTCAAAAACAGTTTTTTGTGGAAATTCCAGAGAAAAGTTCAAATTTCCCAAGAAAACTTTCTGGAAAGCAAAAAAAAAACTGAAAAGTTCGAATACGAAATGGGCGCGCTGGCCGGGTACTAGAACACATCCGGCTGCCAGTCACAATATACCAATTTGCTTTTTCGATGCAGGTTTTTTGCATTTTAAGAATTCATTTTGAATTTTTTCTTTGTTTTTGTGCGGCTCTACACACTTTTTAAAATTAAGAATCAAACAATTCACCGCACATCACCTTCGAAATACGGGTTACTTCCAGGTATAATTCTTTCAATCGTTTGGAATTTGATATTTTAATGCTACAAAAAATGTCATGCTCGAATATTTACTGAAAATGAAAACTGCATTAATAATCTAATAATTTGCCTCTATTTGGGTTGTAGTTGCCTTTATTAGATGGGTCAGGCATGAACTGGAAATGATATATTTTATCATTTTCGAATTGATCCAAACACTACCATTCCGTAAGTCACATTATTTGGCTCCCGACTTGCCCAGTTCGCGTAATCAGCGGGTGTTCCATCAATCCATTTCCAGTATCCATCACTATAGTAAAGGCCAATCCAGATCTGAAAATTAATTGAATTAAAAAATAAAATGTTAACGAACGTTCAAATTTTTTGTGTAATCAACTTTGATTCCTGTATTCGAAATAGCTGAAAGAAAAAATCCATGATTCTTTGAAATCATAGGCTAGTACTAACAAGCGAGAAAGTCGTTTTCAAATGCAGAATGAATAGATGCTAGTCGTGCTCCATCTCGTTGGCAGGCATTATCGGCTCCGTAGAAAGATGCTTGTTCAATAACAGTCTGAAACTCCTTTAATGTCATCTGTAACTAATTTATTTTAAACTTTGTAGCAGTAGTTTGTTGCGGCGAACCAGACATATCCATGCGGGCATCGAACTTTTGATAAACAAGAAATAGTGTATTTCATAGCAAACCTTGAGAAGGTGGACAAGCTGTTGTTGATGAGAGAGGTGGATCAGAAGCACAAATAAACGGAGAAGAGTCGGTACAAGTTGCAGTCAGCCATTGTCCATCGTTGGCGAAAAATTGCATACATGCAGAAGTTCCCAATGAACTGGGCTGTCCAATTTTATAGTTTTGGAAGTCAAATGGTGAACCATCTTCCCATTTCCAGCTTGTGGGATCCGTGACTATGGAGGACATAGTTTTTGCTCCCAACCACACAGGACCATTTTTATAGATGAGTTGAGAAGCTTGTTGAGCCAAATATGTATTTTCATTCATATTGTGAACAGACACCATGTGACCATTCAAAGTAGAACATACCGACTCGGCAGTTGCATAGTTCACCGCCGAGGAATAAAATTGGAGACATCTAAAAAACTAAAAAGTATATATTCAGTATTGTGTGTCGTAGTCCTTACTTGTTCATCTGCTGAACATATATTGCTCCTGTTCCACATTGTGCATCAATCTGCAGAAATAAAAGAGAAAACAAAAGGAGAGGAAGAGTTTTGGCGAACATCATGATAAGGAGTGAAGTACTGATAGGTGAGCTTTTATACAAAATTTTATGTCCTGTTCTTTTGAATCAGAGATGTTACATCCGTCTTATCAGTAAAAAAAGAACCCACGATCATAATGCTTAATACGAATCCTTCCCATTTTGCAGATTCTGACAAGTCACAAGGGGATGATGAACAATTCCACGAGTTAATTTTCTAGATAACAGCATATGTATAAAAGAACAGGGAAGTGTTCTAAGTCCATTCTTCATCTTTTAGAGATGTGGAAAGCATGCCTTGCCTTCTTTTTTCATACCTGCATTCATAAACGCACAGTGCAATCCAGGATCTATTTCTAACAATAACAGGTAAACGAAATACACTGGTCCACATAATCATTGTTCCACCCTGAAGTTTCACTGGAACCCCTATTTAGGTCAAGTTTCATAAAAAGGTGCCGACATGGAAGTTGTAGCCTTTCTTGAGAAATGGTACTTCGAAAAACTTGGAGTTGATAGCATGACCCAGAAAAATTTTCTTCTGACCGAAATTCTGAAAATCACGTTTTTGGATACAGATTATCAATAATTTGTTGACCATCGTGGCTCGAAATATCAATTTCTTAGTTTTTTGAGTTCATCCATAATCTGAAAGTCTTTGTTAGTTTCGTAAACCATATGAACCATAAACGCCCATTCATTTTCTATCAGGTTTCTGTTGTGTGAATATTTGAAAGTGATTTTTTGTCTACCGTTTATTGTTGCTACGATTTGAGGCAAGGATTTTGAACATTCTGGCATCGACACCGTTATCACAAATCTATTTACTTTTCATTTCCCCATTGACAAGGTCAGGAGACATTCAGAGTGGCTCAAACATTGTCTTATCACACTTCCCACATAGACTTTATGTTCACTTGACCTCAATTCACCCAAAAAATATCTGGAACTTCTTAATTAAACTCGAAACTTGTCGCGGTTAGGGATTGAGGAGTGATGAGCCCACACTCCTAGCGAACTGTGACTGCTATGCAACCTTTGGCTCCTTCCGTTGAGATGGTAGTTAACAGTGGATTGGTTCACAACGTGTTTATTGACACTCGCTGGGCAATAGAGGTCTCAGAGGGATACAGTAGAAGTTAGTGAATAGGGGTGACAAGAAGGGGGAGCAGGGAAGGAGCAACCTTCCTACATGGCTGTAGGTTGGAAGAAGATGGTCTCCAAATGTCATACGGATCTTCGTCAAGATGAAAGCTCGCCAGTTGGACAGAAGCTCCAAAGAAGTAGAAGGACCCAAGACACAAGTCAAGATGACTCGTCAAGTTCCAGAAGTCCAGAAGACGTGCCAATCAAGTCAGATTGACCAATGGACAACACAGTCACGTCAACGGATCGGCAACAGGAGTTTCAGCGAAAGTTGGAATTCCGGAATCAACGACATTCGGCCAGGATGCTGTCACCAAGAGGAGAAGATCAAGCCAACGGCAGGGACATTCCAGTCACGTCATCTGCCAAGCTGATCGTCAACTCAAGTCAAGCAAACTGTTACCATGATGAGGCGAAGTACTAAGCCCGAGCGCAGTGCGAAGCTTTTAAGGCTTAGGAATTTGCTGATGAAGGTAGTAGAAGTTCGGAAGTTCTTGCAAAAGAATTCTGACGAATGGATACAACAGTTGTGCATCTCGGACTCCAGAAGTCGCCGTAACATCAGTTAACGTCATACAACTGATCGACGACCAAGAAACCCGATAGAGGACGTCTTCAGAAGAAATTCCCTTCGCGCAGAGGGAAGGGCCGACTCCAAGCACATCCGAACCACGTCATCGGACCCTCAGGAATGTCGAACCCAGCCAGTCAAGAAATAGTGTGCAAGATGCAACCACACTGATTCGTGCCACAACGTCCAAGGAATCAGAAGTCGTCAGGACTACCCAGTCAACAGCCAGCCAAGAAGATTCATGAGCAATTGGAGTTTCGACAGCTACACTTCAAGGATAGTCGTGATGCTTCAAGTCTTAGGATATTAGTAAGGTAAAAAAGAGAAAGAGCTACCGAAAAGAGACAAGGTGTCGAAGCGAAAGCTTAGATACTGAAGTCCAGCTGTGTACTAGTCTACATTGGTAGATTTGCTCAGTCGCGGGACCAAAAGAGGATAAAAATATTAGATGAAAGTTTTAGAAAATTGAAAATCATCAAGGTTTTTTCTATCTATCAGAAAAAGTTTAATTCGATAAAAGTCATTAAAAGAGGTTTCCGAAAAGCACTGGGATTCACAAAAATCAAAATCCCTGAAAATTTTTAAAAAGGAAGTTTGGCGCTATGGGAGTTGAAAGATGCCACCCATTTTTAGATTTTTATATTATTATTTTCTTTTTTGTTGCTTCACAGGTGATTCGCGAACAATCCGTTACGGACGCTCAGCGTTCGCGCGCGGTTGAAATAGGAACCGTATACGGACCGCACGCGACCCGTTTTCAGAAAACCACAGCACATTATTTCGTATTTCTCCGTATTCTGTCCGTTCGCGAACTCCGTATCCGAGCCGATTGCGAATGATGGACAAACGGATCCGTTCGCGAATCAGACAAAAGTTTAAGCGAATCACCTGTGTTACTCAAACTTTTTCAACGTGTGCGGACAGACCGAGAGAGAAAAAGACGCAACTTCATTTATTCACCAGCAAGCTGGTGCGCCATCGGCGCGATTTGACTTATTTTTTACTGTTTCATCCCTCCACTTCTCACTTTTTCTTAAAGGGTCACGTAAATCTATATTTATTTTTCAAGTTTTTCAAAAGTCCACAGACTTTCATCAGGACAGACGTATGTATCGTTTTATATATAAGGAAGATTATAAGTATGGGTTTTCAAACAAATTAATGAAATAAAAATTTTGGTTGGTGTCCCCTTTTTAGATGAATGAATTTGACCTTTTTTTCGAAACTATTTTCCTATTCAACATTTTTTGTAAAGTTGGTAACTTTTAATCAGTTCCCAATAAATTATATTCATTTCCATATTTATTGTTTCTCTTCAATCAAAATTTCTCGAAAATGCAATACTCAAAGGCAAGTTGTTCATGATCTCCTTCCGAATTACCACTATATTTTTCCAGATTCTCCTCTTCCTCCTCATTTCGATTATCTCCGCTTCCTCGATTCCATATGTCAGATACTGTCGTCATGTGGACTCTGCTAAATGTGTAGTCGTCGATTTATGGTTTGGACAGTACGAGACAAAACGACTGTTTCCAATGAAATGTGTGTATGGTTCCTGTCCAATTGGTACGGTATGCGATCCTAAAGAAGAATGTTGGAACGAAGTAAAAATGAACGAAAATAACTATAAGGAGATGAAGATGGTGGATGGAAAATGGAGAATTATTTGACTTGAATTTTATTGATAAAAATAAAAATTTATTTATTTATTCTGGTTGAATACATCTCATAACTTTGGCTGGGATATTACTGACTACTGCAGCGAGCCCTTGTTTAAATACTTCAAATGAATCATTCATGCTCTCCGATTCCGGCTTCAGATTCTCCATGTCTTTAGTGAGAAGATTCATCAAATGCTGGGCACGAAGAACTGAATAGAAACCTGTCAGTTAAAGATGACATGGTTGCTTGACTTACGATAAATTGGTAGAGTGCTCATTGAAAACGAAGGGGCTATGGACATCTCCAAAAGAAGACCCATGGAGTCCAGAGCATCTGAAAATCAGCAAATTCTTATAGACTAATTATCTAAGAAGAGAGCTTCACCCATAATGGCAGATTTCAGTTTTCTTCTCGTATGCGGAGAGAGATTTTTGAGAGTATCCAATTGGGTATCCGTGAAGCCTGTCATTTCCTCAATGGTCTCTTTGAACAAATTTTTTGTACATTCCATGGAAGAATGGGCTTCCTGAGAATCTATTTTTATTACGATTTGAGTTTGAAGTCAAGCTCACCACTAAACCCGAAAAAATAGTCAGAAGAAGGAATAACTGAATTATTTTCATACTTGAAAATTTGGGACAGAATGATGGGGGAATGTGATGAAAACGTTTTCAGGATGATCAATTGTTATGTTAATTTTTGAAATCTTTGGTGACAAAAGTATAACAATGAAACTGGAAAATTTCGAAAGGGAATGAAGAGGAAATATGTGAAAACGGAAAATATTACTCATTAATAACTGGAGCTTTTTGTGACATTGAGTCATGAAAATAGAGATGATGACTTCGAGATTTTCATTTAAAACAGAAACATTGAAAACGCATAGATCTCAGACCAGTCGGTTTACGTCTTCTGCCGGTGCCTCACCTCTCTGGTTCTGGCTTACTGTATCTTACCTCAAATTCCTGATTAGAGAATTTTAAACTCTCGGAATTTCCGAATTTCTTGATTTCAGGAGATCTGAATTTACAAATTTCTGAATTTCTAAGATTTCGAGTTCGCCAAATTCAAAAAATTTTAAAATTTTGAACTTCAAGATCTCATGAATTTCCGAATTCCCCGAGTTTCAGAATATCAAGATGGACTTTTTTCCGAATATCAAGAGGACTAAATTTTTTTAAATTCTAAATTCCGTAGTATTTAATTTCCCGAATATGTATTATGAAAATGCATAGCTTTAGAATCATTTAAGTGCAATAAATTGATACAAACAAATTTTTGGCCAGAGTCCCCTTTAAAAATATGATTCCATTCTGAAAATTCCATTTAGCATTTTAATAATTTCTGCAAAAAGAACTTTGACCCTGTTCTCTTCCCCAACAAACATCTTCCTTCTCATTGTTTAGTCCCATCCATCCTGATTCAATTACTCTGTTCAACTATTCAAAAGCTCTTCAAATTCGTAATAAGTGTCTCTCTCTCCCAAAAAAATAACTAAAGACGAACCCATCTTCTCAAGTTTTGTACATTTTTCTTTTTCAACAAAGACAAAGAGTCTCTTCTTGTTTCCTCCCCTTTCCACCAGAAATAAATCGCCGAAAGCGGAACTAAATGTGATTATGGCTCGTTTTTCGTCTCATTTTCTTGGTAGTAGGGGTGGAAAAGAAGAAGAACTTTGTCGTATAGTTTTCTTCATTGTTGAAATTTCTGTGTCATCAATCCAAATTCAATCTCTTTTTCCTTCCGTCCGGTGCTCACTGAGCCGATCAGCTTTAGTGGCACTCGGCTGTCTTAATCCTTATTCTTGATGCAAAGATTTTGTGATCTTTTTCACCTGCTCTCAAGTGGGTCGGATGGGTGAATTCAAATTAAGTGGCTGCGTCAGAGAATCTTTTTATAAATATTTAAAACAGTCGACCAAAGCCAAGTAATCTTTCTGCGTCTCTTTATCCACCCTCTTCCAGTTTTATGGTTTCTTAATTCCGGTAACAAGTCCTTGGTAGCCGAGTTTACAACAGGTGATAAAAATTTGCCTATGCCAACAGATGAAAATTGTTTGCTGAGATTTTCAAGGTTGTTTCTAGTAGACTTTCTACATCTTCTTTTCATTTCTAAATGTACCACCAAGAAACCAAAGCATGGTGGTTTCTCCTCTTCCTTCCGTATAGCATAATTAGTGTCATATGGGCTCTTCTTTCAAAAGATTTCAAACTTTTTTTCTGCTCTCTTCTCTTTTGCTATATTTACTTTTAAGTAGTCCTCCTAATCCACAAGTCGACCTTGTGTCATCATTTGTGCCCTCTCTTCAATGGAATCTCCCACTAAGAAAGGACAATACTGTCGGCACCTGCCAATAGACCACCAGCTGCGAGAAACACAAACAAATGACTCCAATTAGGGAAAAAGAAGACACGCAAAAATTATGATGACGATTGTGGAGAGAGGAGGAAAGGCGGTAAGAGCTGTGTAGTAGATGGTGTTCCCCGAAGAATAGCAACAGATGATGTTTTTCTTATTACGATCTCTGACGGAGTCATACAATACTTAATGTATCCGGACCTAGCAGTACTCATATGGTACTAATGGGGTACTCGAGAGATGTAATCTGATAGTACAGTATGTTGGAATTATGTACCTGTTGAGACTCATTGCATAATAGAATAACGAAAACTGTCCAGTAGGTAGACAACTTGCCCAAACCCTCTTTAACTTTTAAAACGCCCTAGTTTTTGCCATTCTCGAAGCAAACCGAAGTTGTCATGCATTTTCGGCTCAAAAATAAAACGAGGGCCATTTTTGGTCATTACTATTGCCCACATCTACGGTTGCGTTGTATTGAGAAATTTACGTGCCAAACTTTTAGATCGTTTGAAATTCAAATTTCTTGCAATTTTTAGTTGATTTTCCACTTAAAAAGTTAATTTGTCACGGGCCTAAAACTTCGCCATGTTACTTATTCATTAAAGCGCAACAGTATACCACTGCAGTTCGAACCCCAAGGCCGTCTCGGATATTCAAACGTTTTCTCGGATTTTTCCAAATTACCTCTAAACAGCCTAATTACTGGGTGAAATTGGTCTATAAGCTCAATGGCATCCCTCGGAATTTTTTGTGATTCACTCACCTTCACGCTACCAACCCAACTCTTTCAAATAAGCTAATTAAATCCTCGAAAACTCCCAAAGGCATTCCGTATCACCCATCTCGTTCCAATACTGCCCCCATCCATCCTTCAATCACTTTGAATGAACCTCTTCTTCCTCTTTTCCTCCTTCTGATTTTTCATTTGATTCACTTCTCCTCAAAAGATCGGTATCTTTTGTCTTCTCATTCGCTTCGTTTGTGAATTTCAAGCGGTGAGGTCGAGACTCTTTTTCTCAAAAAGTGAAAAAATTGAGATTAGATTTTAATCGAGTCGAAATGGGAGAGGATGGCGAAGTTACCGCGTCGCAAGTTTTATTTGTCGTAGAACCTAAAAATGCGTATTTTGGTGAGACTGGTGACTTGATTTTTGGAATCATTGTGAGTGGAGTATAATGAAAAGTTGGAGCCACAAGAGGAGCTTGACAAATTTTACGATTTCAAACCGTCTACTATGAGCCCATATATCTCGTAAAAGATATCGGAAAGTGGTGAACTAACAAAATTTTTATCATATTATCAAAAAAATTGTCAGTTAATATCTTTTTGATATCTGTTACGTGAAATTAGATATATGGGCTGAAAGTTAAAAATTCGGGTGGCCCTCTAGTAGAGTGATTACGATAACCTTCTAGAAACAGAAACTGGAAAAAAAACAATAGAAACCTACTGTTTCTAGCATGTTCCATACTTTCTAAGAAAATAACGGATACCAATTCGTATGAAAACTTTTTTTCTTATTTTCACCTCCATCATTACTAATGACAAACACCAAATTCTGTATGTGAGAATGTATGTAGCGTTACTGTTCACCCACTCAACGTTAACCGTTTGAGCTGGAATTTGGACAGATGAATAGGAAATTTTTATTAGTTTTTGCCCGATCTTTTCTATTTTCGAAATATTGCTTTTGATCTCTTCTGGAGACGTTTTTCTTCTTTTCCAATACAAATCTTCAGAAAATTATTGAACTAATTTTCACGTCATTCTCGTCTAAAAATAGTTTTCAGTATGGGTTTTGATGTTTGAAGGGAATGGAAAAAACTGGAATGGCTAAAAAAATGAAAATGATGAAAAAACGTGCTTTCAGGATTGTTTGAATTTGAAAAAATTTAAACCTCTGGACCTTAATTTCTGAATTTACGAATTTCGCAAAATATAAATTGTTGAGATTATGAAAAAAATTTGGTTAAAAGGTTTTCTAAAATCCGGACTTCGAATTCCAAGAGCATGAGAATTTTCAAATTTTTGAACTTCTGAACAATGAACCTGAAATCTCCGGATTTCTGATTTTGAAAACGCAAAAAATTTTGAACTTCAGAAATTCTCAAACCTTGAATTTTGGAAAATCAGAAATTCCTAACAGTTATAAAATAAGGGGGTTAAGAATATTCAAATTCAGAAATCGTATTCATGAATCCCTAAGTTTCTGGATTTCTGACTTTCCAAATTTCGAATTTCTTGCATTGCTGATTATCCAAAATTTTCTGTTTCTATGATTTTTCCCATGCGTTTTTAGAATTTTCGTAACTTTGAATTATCTGAAAAAATCGAAATCCCGAATTCCGGAGTTAGAGACTATAAATTTCGGTTTTTTTACATTTCCGAAGTTCTGAATTTCCGGGCTTCAGATTTTTGGATTAGTTGAAATTCCAGAATTATTGAACTTTCAAATGGATAGTTAGAATTCCCAATTGAAGAATATGAAAATATCAGTTTGAGACTTGAGACAACAAGGGTGAGAATCGGGAATTTCAGAAGTTTTCTTTCGGATGTTGTTTCTATCACAGTTCCATAGTTTATATTTTAAAAGAGTCAAAATATTTTTCATTTGTTTCCGGGTATTGTAAGTGGGAGCCAGACGATTACCGTTTGATTGATTTTTATTTCCCCCTATCCCATGCATCAACTTTACGCATATTCTTTTCCTTCCCACACGTTCCCAAACGTTTTCTTTCTTTCTTCACCCTGTTCCTTCCTCTTTTCTTTTTCTTCAGATAGTACGTTTCGGTTCTTTTTTTTTGAGGTGACAAACGGAAATATGAGATAGGTGTGAGCTGCCGACAGTGGGACCCCCGTACAGTTTCCAAACTCTACGGGAGGTGTTAACGGAAGCGGTCACTTTCAAGTTTGACTAGGTAGTCCGATTCAGCCTCTAGATTGTGGATCTGATTCTTATGGCGCGTTCAAAGTATATTTCCAGGAGTAATTTCCTGGAAAAATGCTGTCCAAAGCTGTCATTGTTTTCCAGAGGCCTCCGCTTCGAGACCCGCCGTAAATCGACATGAATCAACAGGAAGAACACAGTCAAAATGAGGGATACAGTAGTTTACTGTTGCTGTAAATCTGGAAAACAATCGCAGCTTTGGACAGCGTTTTTCCAGGAGATTACTCCTGGAAATCAACTTTGAAACTTTGAACGCGGCATTATAGACTTCTTTTTTCCGTTATCTTTCATTCTTCCTCTTTCCCCTGTCACATGTTTTTCTCTTTTTTTGATGAGCTAATCCGGAATTATCACTTGCTGGATTCCGCCCCCCCCCCCCCTCCTACCATTTTCGGATTCCTTTTCTTAATTACAGGGGCATTACAGGGTCTCTAATTAGCAAAATTTAGTGCTTGGGGTATTAGTAACGGCAAAAAATGAAACGTGAGCAAGTGAGGATGGATAGTCAACAGATGGTGAGAAAAAAGGTGGTCAACACTCGTTGGAATCATGTTTAATTGGTTTATTATTGTCGAAAACCCATGAGAACCTTGACTAATCTCCTAAAGAATGACTCCGCGAGAAAGAGAGAGAGAGAGAGAGAGAGAGAGAGAGAGAGAGACCGCGAAATGGGGTCGATTTTAGTCATCATTATCCCAACTCTTCCCCAAATCATGCACAGAATGGCAATTCAACAAGTCAGCCTCGTATTCTCAAAATGTGCTATTCCATATCTCCACTATTTGATACACTACCGTCCCAAAGGCCAGAGCGTCTCAAATTCCACACCAACATCGTCCTTCCCCCTATTATTCGACACCTTCGGCATTGCCTTTGAGTTCCTTTAACACCTTCTGGACTCCTCCCCCTCCTCTGGGGCCTCCCTCCTTCTGTTCCTTCTCTTCTAATCTGACCAACCCAATCTGCCACGTCAAACGTCATGTACTAACTAGGCAGAACAAGACATCATCTTTCTCGCCCATCTTTTGTCTTAACTACCTACTTATTTTTCTTTCCGTTTACTATTTTTCTAACTTCCGGAACGTTTTCTCTCATTTTTGACTATTTCAGATGGTGAACAGGATCTTTTTCTGTTGTATTCTCTTTGCTCATGTAGTGGATTCCACAATTCAGAATCACAAACCATTCTGGCTATCAGCGGATATAGATAGTATAGAATGGCAAGAAGGATGTTTAACAACCGTTTTGTGTTCACACCCTAGATTTCAAGTAAGTCTATTTCTCATAGATGAGACAAGTCATTCAAATTTTCAGCTTCTCAAAGACCTGCTCCCAATATCTGAACGTGTCTCTATTAGTTGGCCAGTCACTGAACAATTTCTGGAGCACACAGTGGCTCCATTCATATCGTATTGGCCTACAGGAAGAATAGAAGACGTTTCTTTATCAGCTCAAGTCATCGGAGTCGACACTACCTATGGATTCCCAAGAACATGTGATCAGACACCAGCAGTCAGAATCTTTCCAGTTGACCTCTACGAACTGAATCCAGAAAATGCAGAAAACAAAACTATCCATTTGAAGGCAAAGTGTTTTGAAACCACAATTACAGTTACGAAACACATTGAGAGGTGCCCATGGTGCCCGGATCCACGAGAGGTTTTGATTTCAAATGAGATCCCTCAACAGGTATTTTGAAACCACATCTTACTGTACAACCCCGGAAACTTTTCCAGATAAATCTGCAACAATCAGCACTAGAATCTGGAATTCATTCGTTTGTTGGAATGTTCTATAAGTCTTCCACTTCTGAATCTCTTCAAGTTGGAATTTGTCTTCTGGCCGCTCTCGCCTTCTTCGCATGTCTGGCATTCTCTATAATGCTTGTAGTTTATCTGAAATCTACAAAGTAAGTGCTGAAATTTATAATTTCCAAAGGTATACATATAATTATTCAGGCCATCAAGAAGAAATGTGAGTGTGAATGTTCAGCCACGTCTCATCCCATGTAACAGACGTTGCGACGATTATGACACAAGGTAAGGGGAGCACCTGCCAATACGAATCTTATCTTTTACATCTTTTGTTAGTAGTTGACGACTGTCTAATTGAACCATCTGTTTGTATAGGTGGTCAAGATTTGGAGAACTAGTAAGAGTAGGTATTAATAACAACTTGTATAAAAAGTATATGCTCACAAAATGCAAAACTTCGATTCTTGAAAATCAATATTCTAACTTTCCCTGAAGATTCAGATACGACATGCCTTGGGATCAACAGCGTCCACTCACGTATTGGATGTCAAAATCTACAGTAACCTCTCCAACATCAATGAGATCTGACGCATATCAAACTTATCGAATTCCACCACCACCAAACTTTTCTCCGCCAGTTTGATGCCATTTTTAAGTTCAGACTTTTTCCATAACATTTCGGGTTATTTTCTCTTGCACAGACTTTTTTTGTTCATCCGGTTCTTCTTTTATGGCATTCTTCACCAATTGTGAATTACAATAAACTCTTCATTACAAAAAAGTTCAAAAAGTCCATCAAAACATTTGTAATTGACTTTGAATTTCTTGTGGGAGACTGGCTTTTAATTGGCTGATCAGATAATTGGATTCGTCTCGTGTGATGCTCAAATTTTCACGAATTGCCTGAAAATTCAAGGTTTTTTTTTCAAATAAATGTAAACCTTCTGATAATCTCACCTGTATTTGAACAGCAATTTGCTGGGCTTCCTCTGTCATTGGAACATTATTCGACCCTCCTGAAGTCAACTGAAATTTTGGACAAATACAAAAAAATAAATTCCAATTTTTTATGACTCACTCCTCCATTGCCGGCTCCGTTACCTCCTACAAAATGAACCGATTGACTGCCGGGCTGAAAATTCCAGTCCTTTTCTGGAAACTGAGGAGATTGACGGATAGATCCAACCTGATTGGGTTGAAATGGCTGTGGACCCATTTGAGTGTTACTGTTTGGCATCATATTTGGACCGAAAGGGAGGTTGGAAGATCCTTGATTTTGATTCCCGAACGGATTGTTGTTCTGTTGTCCTCCTTGGATGAATCCAGATGCTTGACTGTTTCCAGAAGCGAATGGATTTTGGGATCCTTGACTCCCAGTGTTTCCTTGTTGCGTGTTTTGGTTATTGTTTTGGTTATTAAAGAATCCAGAAGAAGAACCAGATGATGGATTTTGATTTTGGTTATTGATGAAGCCAGAAGATCCAAGAGAGTTCTGTGATCCTTGCTGTTGGTTTTGAGAATTTTGTGAATTTTGATTCTGGTTATTAAAAAATCCAGCATTTCCAAAGTTCGAGTTTTGATTCTGATTTTGGTTTGGCTGGAACGGATTTTGATTCCCATTCTGATTCCAATTTTGATTCGAATTCTGGTTTCCACTAAATTGGTTCATCTGATTCTGAAATCCAATTCCTCCATTATTCCAATTGTTTCCAATTCCCAATCCATTCCCAATTCCAATTGGACTCTGAGTATTTGAGCTCCCCGAATATCGATATTGATCGGATCCAGCACGTGCGATGTAGATCACAGGTTGAGGAGTGGAAGAAGAAATTCCGGGAAACAAAGGTTGATTTTGACCATTGTTTGGAGCATCTTGTTGTGGAGAATTTATGTTCGGATTCTGGTTCTGGTTCTGGTTTTGATTCTGATTCGTATTTTGTTGATTTTGTTCGATTTGCAATCCAGTAAGCAAATCTGCATTCGGCCAGAATCCTGAGGTTTTTGGAACTATTGTAGGAGGAATACATCCTGATGATGGACAACCTGAAATTCATTATCTAACAACACATATCAGAATTTGAATTTTCAATTACTGTGGAATTTCGTAGTATTAAAAATTCAAGAAATATAAAGTTTAACATACAGTACCGGTCAATAAGATTTACAAAAACAATTATTTATCAGTTGATTTTCGGCCATTATGACCATTTTCAGAAGCATGTAGCTCGGCTGTCAAGTTTTGAATGATTTCGAAAATTTTGGCGGGTGTAAAACAGAACTAGATTGAAAATTTTGCTTTCACACAACTTTTTGAAAATTCCAAGTGTTCAGCTATTTGCCGATTTCTGAGGGACATCCGTTTTTACCTCGTTTCTGTGTTGAAAACGTCAAAAACCGTGTGTTTTTCAGAAATCGGCCAATAGCTGAAAAACTTGGAATTTTCAAAGTGATCAGACACTTGACAGCTGAGCTCCAGACTTCTGAAAATGGGTTAAAAAACTGAAAATCAACTGAAAAATATGTTTTTGTATATCTCATTGACCGGTACTGTATCTATCAGATGAATGGACAAAAATGGTTTTTCAAGTTCTCGCTGTCTCGTATTATGTTTTTTGAACTGGAAAATCTAAAAGAAAATATCATTTCGTTTGAGCTTCCCGTTTCAAACTGCACTCACCTGCACCACCAGCATACGCATTATACTGTGGTGTTGTTGCCGATGACCCCATTATTGAATCCCAAAAACTTCCAGAAACTATTTCGAATAACCATAGTAATAATAATAAAGATTTCATTTTGTAAAAGATAAATCGATTTAGATTTAGATTTGGAGGGTGCTCAGTGAGCTCCCGTATTGTTTGTGCACCTGGAAGTCAGCATAGTCATATGGTGACTCAGCAAATGAAGGTTTTAACCAAAAAGTTTAAAAATTGTTATGTTTATTATGAAAACCAGTCGGTTTACGCCCCCTGTCGGGGGCTCAACCTCCTGGCTTCCGCTTTCTGTATCTTGCAATTGAATTTCTAATTAAAAAAATTTTCGAGTTTCCGAATTCATCAAAATTTGTGAAAGTTTTGCATACTATCAATTTTCTTCTAGGAATGTTTGATGTCCCAAATTTTCAAAATTTCCAAACTACTGAAAAAAGATTTTTTATGTTCTGAAATCCGAGTATGCGAACCGGTTTCCTGAAGTTTTGGATAACTAAAAGTCAGGTTTACTAAACTTTCTGGTCTCCGAAAATTGTGAATTTCGAAAATTTCGAATTTTGAAAAACAGTCGGTTTGCGCCCCTCCGGGCTGAGCCTCCTGGCTCCCGCTTACAGTACCCGTTGTCTTATAGACAGGTTTTGTCCTTTTTCCAGGGACTATTTTTTCTTAGTCTGTTAGGAAATTTCGAAATTCGATATTTTGGTTATTCAGAATTCCTAGAATTCGGAAAGTCGGAAGTAAGAAAATCCGGAAATTGAAAAAGTAAGACACTCGCAAGTTCAGAGATTAGTAAATTTTAGAAAATCAGATGTAGGAAACATTAATTTTGAAATCTAGAAAACAGTTTCAATCTGTTTGTCTCAAATGCCCAAATTTTGGTATATCAGAGTTTAAGGAATCGGAAAATTCAGAATTTTGCACACTTACTAAATGCCGGGCTGACCTGAAACGGCCCTGTTTGCAAAATTTATAGAATTTCGAAAAAGTTTAGAATCGAGAATTTGAGAACCTGAAAAATTAGAAATTCAGAAATTCAACTTTTCGAAACACAGTCTCGTCGAAAAGTTTTTGGAACTTCGGAAAATCGGAAATGTAGATTTCAGAATTCGAAAACTCTAAATTTCGAAAATTTAGACATTCAGAAAATTGGAAACCGGAAATGTTGGAAAATCTGAAACTTTGAAATTTTTTGGCATATTCGGTGAATAAGATCTCAGAAATTTATAAATTCCGAAATTTGAAAGATATGAAATTAAGTTCGGAAATTTTAAAAATTATTCTGAATTCTGAAAAATCGAGTGTTCAGAAAGGGCGCTGTTATTTTCCCTCCCATTCTGTTTCTTTCTTTTTTTTCCTTTTATTTTCTTTCTTTTCCACTGTTTCAAAATTTTTTCTTCCTTTCAATACTTTAAAACCCATACTAAAAGAATATTTCCACAAAATCACTTTTCTCTCAAATATAGCGTTGATAAGAAAAACATTTGGGCGGTTAGACGGAAATGACGTGAATATTTCTTCAATATTTTTCTAAAAAATTTGCGCTGTAGAAATAGAATAACGTCTCCAGAAGACGTCAGATACAAAATTTCGAAAGATTAAATATTCGGGCATCATCTCGCTGCTATTTCGGGTAATCTGTGAAAATTTGGGAAAACTTGGTTCATTCTGGACATCGTTAGGGAATGTGATACGGGAACAAACGGACACACACACTCACACACAGAATTTGGTGATTTTTAATAGTAAAGATGATTAAAATGATTTATTTCTTTATGTGATACTTTGTAGCCTTTTTGTAAACAATTTTAGGTTTATGCTTCGTAGGTTGTTGTTGTTGTTTTGCTTTCTTCTTTTGAGCCTCCTTTGCCTTCATTTTTAATAGTTGCTCCTCTGTCATGTCATCGCAGTTCTCGTATCCGATCTTTCCATTTCTTTTGACATATCTTTTGGTGGTGGCTCTTTCTGAGGATTCTCCAACGATTCTACCTTCACATATGGATTTTTACTTTTTGTTTTTAGAACATTATCAGCTGTAACCACTGGTTTGGTGTATGGTTGTGTATATGCTATTGATTTTGTCGTTGTCGCATCCACATACATATGAGAAGATGCGGGACCTGGATTTCGATTAGATGGACCCAATGGGTTCTTGCTTGCATTGGATTCTGCACTTTTTGGTTTTTTCTTTTCACATCCAATAAGAACAAGTACAGAGAAGAAAAAGATATTGAGAAGATGAAAAAATTGAACAGCTTGGAAATACTGAACAACATGATAATGGGCTTGATGTCTGCAATGGAACACTTACTGGCATTCTAAACTAAGTAAGTCAAAATATCAATAAATTATAAAACTCAGCTAGATCATATCGTACTTAAAAATAGAGCACGCCTAAAGTATGTTTGAAGGTTTGTTTTCTCTAAACTCCATTTATATCATCTCTTCGAGGGGTTGAACTTGTGGATCCAACGCTGGAGGTATCGAGCCGCTACCAGCTTAGGTAAGCTGAGGCGGCCGAACGGTGGGATATATAAAATCGGCAACGTGCTGTATGAGCGCTAAACACTGTACACCATCACGTCAGAATACATACCCCAACTCCGAAGAAATTTCGACTAATCTCATAAAACCAGAAAGGTTCCATCGATCGTGAACTGTACTACAAATTCTAGACGTGATGAAACATATAGATAACATTGGCATAAAGGATGGGAGAGTTCCAAGAGATCTCTCAGTTTTGCTCAGTTTCTTCCACTCGATCTCCATACTAACAGCCTCGGTCTTCACTACTAACCATGACTAACCGTAAGTCTAATAATGTAAACAGAAAATCATCTTACCTTTTCAGTTATTTCCTTTATTGCTCTTCTTGCCATTTTCAACGTCTCCGCTGGATTCGACGATCGATGCCACGCTGGCGAGGTCCTGATGTTGCTAGCTCCAGAAGACGTCTATCAGAAGGAGCCTGTTGTTCCATCTATCGTCATGGAACTCCCAGAACTCTATGATAACGTTACAATTCTTCCGTCTGTTCTAGAAGTTCCAAAACAAGTGGAAACCTTCGAATACAATGAGGAGGATTTCTATGGCGACGAGGATTCAGAAGAATATGACGGAATGGACGATGACGAAATCAATGAGAGATCTCTGAGAATCGCTGGATTTGTCGGACAGTGCATGGTCTTCTTGTTCGTCTTCAACATCGTCACCTTGGATATCGAGCATTTCGATGAGCCTGAGGAAGAGGAAATCGTTGTCGTTCACAAGCTTCACAGAGCCGTGGAAATCCAGACATGCCCATTGCCATCGCGTCAGAATATCCGGATCGTCAAGCGTCTCGTGGAATCGTCGGAATGTTGATTAATGACTATGAAATGTTGATAATGATTATTGAATGAATACTTTTATTGTGTTTTGATCCGGTTCGTTATGATCTTCACCTATGAGAACTTATGGTGCCAGCTAGAATTCCATGTAAACTATCCTGTAATTACGGAAGCATAAAGTTCGAAGAATTTTAGAAAAGAATCAGTAAATGCCATACTAATGCAAAATATGGTTCAAATTTTCTGTTGCTCTAAAGTCATGATTGCCCCAAGATTTAAGGAGAAAATTGAAGCGCATAATTACAGTTGGTCATATCATCCCTCCGAATTTCACGTGAAAACCTTTGTTGATAGCATCTTCCGAAGGTCACCAAAGAAAGAATGAAATCAATAAGAAAGAGTAAATCTGTCACTTTGTCTATATCAACATTAAAAAGACGTTGAAGCAAGATAGCTCCGATGATTGCACAAGTGAGTTTCTCTTCCCTTTATTCTGGAACTTTCTGGTCTAGTTTCAGTTATTGCTTTCATTGATCGCAAACTTCGCGATCCTCGTGTTTGTCGTTAATTGTGGAGGAAAGAAGAAAGGAGCAGCGGCACCAGGAGCAGCAGCAGGAGCAGCAGGAGGTGGGGCGGGCGGTGCTGGAGGACCGGCCACGACGAATTCCAATGATTCAAAGAAGCAAACGCCGTCGAAAATGGATAAGCCAGCTGATAAGAAAGATGAAGATGTAAGTTTTCAGAGAGATGGAAAGCGTAATTATTGGTTTTCAAAATTTCAGGATGGCAACTACGAAGAGCTGGCTGTACCGCAATAACCGATCTCCTTCCCACTTGCAAAATTATGACAACGAAGAAGAATCCCCGACTGCGTGACTTTGATTATTTACTGTGTCCTCGTTCTGTATTTCTAACCTTCTATTTGTGGTATGCCAATAAACTTTTATATTGGGTCAGCGTTTTTTAAAGGACACATTTATTAGTTCATATCTGGTGAATATTTCGAAGATCTGGAAAATCAGGTTTTTGGAAAGAATAGCAAAGTAGGAAAACGGATGTGTTTCAAAATGGTGTGGCGAATTCTGACATGGGACAGATTCTTGAAGAAAAACGGGAACAGTAAAAATGAAACAATTAAAATACTTTTTTGGGTTTTTCGAAAAAAAATTTTGAAGTTTTCAAGAATAAGGCGACAGAATCTGCCTTGAAAAATTATTTTTCATAACGGGGGGCAATGAAATCGGGATTTTTAAATAGGGACTGGAATGGGAAGGGAACAAGACGGCGTAGTTAAATCATACCGGAACATAAGAAAAGTGTAATGAACTCAACAGATCAGTACGAATACGATGCGAGAGTTCTCCCGTTCATCTGGAAGTGAAGGTGTCCGTAGGACTCCTCGAAGAAGCCATCCTTATTTTCGGTGAGCTTCTTGGCGAAGATCACACGAGGAGCTGACTTGGAGTCATCGATGAGATCAACGGAGGCCTGGTACTTTTTCTCCCATTGTTGGAGCCAGATAGTGAGGAGGGCGATGAAGAAACCTGAAAAATATTTGGTGTGAAATTGTATTCTTAATGTCATCTCACCAATGGTGTCCAGGCAGAAGATGTAGTTCAGGGGGGACCCCTTTTCTGAGCCGAGCGCACGAGTGATCGCATTGGTGGTGAACACGAGGAAACCTGGAAAAGTTACATTGTTCTTTTTTTAAAATCAAACATTTTCATTAACAATCTGAAATCGTTAAAATAGGTTAGCGTGATTTTAATGGAACGTTTATTGTCCGGAAGATACTGTAGAGTTCTAGAAAATTTTTGTCGAAAAATTTTAAAAATACCAAATACTTCTCAGGCTAGCTATGACGATTTTTCAAAAAAGCCTACTAATACATTGGTGTTACTCCAGTGACTGTTATAAACTGAAATGTGAACATTATTTCAACGTACCGTCGGTCTTACTGAACATCGCATCTCCAATCAATACCACCTCTACAATGACAAGTGTGATCTTGGCGAAGAAGGTGAGTCCATTTGAGCTGTTTTTCAAGACCATGGTGAAAATAGCCACGTGGACCAAGAAAAAGGCAACAGTGACGACTGGCGAGTTGTTGTAGCCAAAGGCTGTGACGACGAAGATACGGTAGACCATGAAAATCGAAAACGGGATACGCAAAAGGGTGATAATAAACGGGAGACGATTCATCGCTGGGAACTTCTTTTGGTCTACAAGAATACATTGGTTCAAACTATAAAAGCAATGAGAAAAAAAGAAACAACTCTGCTCTTAAGGACCTGAGTGTTGAATCACAATTCTATAAAATTGACCACAGTTGCATCCCTTTTATACGGAGAGGGCGCCTGGCTATACCACCCCTTTTCTAGTACCACCCATTTGCTCCACAGATGTTCGTCTTCTTCTTTTTGTCGCCCGAGTGGGTGGGGACAGGGCAGTCGTGGTTCTTGATCAGTTAAGTAAAAATTTTTTTGGGTGGAGAGTCTCCACTGGACTCCACTGGAGACTGAGGGAGTGGAGAGCACCTGTGAACTATGAAATAGAAAATGAATTTCGGAGAAGAAGGTGTCGGGAAAAGTTTTCAGGTATGACCAGAGAATACCAGGATCTGAAGGTTTGAGACAGGAGAGTCTCGAAAGTTTGTTTTCGACATATAGTTCGGTTCCCGAACTTTGAGCTTAATTATCTTGATTCGTGATATCAAAATTTAGCTAACCGAGGAATTGTTTACAATAATATAACCAATATTGTACCAGTTGACAAATTTCGGGAATATTACACAGGAATCAAGATAATTGAGCTCAAAGTTGACGGTTTATATGGGCTTCTAATATTGGAAATACGGTCCCCTTTCACAATTCGTAGGGTTCGGATAGCATCTTATCCGGAATTGAAATTCCGGATGATTCTATTTCTCTTTTTCACCTCTCCATACAGTGCGCAGGTTCTTACGTCAACCCATGTTTAGGGTCATAGCTTGAGAGCTGTTAGAGGTATTGGCCTAATTTTTTAAAAATCGGATTTGGGACAACAAATTACATCTAGTGGATAATTTTTGTAATGAAACTTGAAAACTACGCGAGTTATCTGGAAGCCTTTTGCAAGCGTTCCTCCGCCCGTCATCCCATGTTACTTATATGCCATCACCCCAAAATCAACGACTATTTTTCTCAAACGATCCCAATTTGGAACGCTATTGTGAAGAACTGCCCCCACCTTCTTACCGTCCTCACAATTCCAAAAACTTCTTGAGATCTCGATTACCCGTTTCTGACTTGCCCCCCTCCCTTTGATCTTGCCACTATCTCTCTTTTCCTTCCCCACATTAGGACTAACTCTTGCGGGTTAGTCTTTCTTAGCTTCGTTTTTTACTATTTTTCTTTCCCCGGTTACCATCACTCCTTATTTCTTCAAATCCTTCGAATAAACGAAATATATAAAAAACCGTTGCAAGTTTATACGACCACTCCAAAGATCAGTAGAACACGACCTCCAGCGAAGACGGAGGTGGCCAATTTTGATTCTGTACAACCAAAATCACTGTAAAAAGTTGTTTTCATTATGTGTTTCTCTTTCTTTGAGTTTGTATCGTGCCATGGGATCTTTTGCCGACTGATGCTGGAAAAGCTTCAATCGGGGCAATTGGAGCAGCTGGATGGACCAAAAAGCTATCAGAAAGCAACTAAATCATTCACACTGTAATACTGTTTTCTCATCGGGAAATTAACATAAAAAAACAGGATCAGCTCAAATCGATCCCAGCCCTCTACCAGTAATGTCAACTTGAAGTCGTCAAGTCGACGGGTTAGAGATGTCTCAAAGATGATCCAGGCATCAAAAGAGCAATAATGGTCCCAGCTCCGACACCTACCGACGATCACAAAGAACGTTGTCTCATCTTCTTTCAAAAGTGCATAAGAACCTGCAACGCACTGTATTCCTATTGCAAAACCTCTAGAATTCTATAGACCCAGTCTGACCGATGACAGATGTTCCTCATCCAACAAAAAAGTATGATTTTCACTCATCCGATAAGCACCTGGAATGCTCAGTTTTAGTGTTAGCTGGTACGAAATAACAGCTGCGACAAAGATTTGAACTTTGAGGGAACCATATTGAAAACGAAATTGGACAGCACCGGGTGAAAAAAGAACATCTGTTCATCACCTGTGACTATTTGAAAGGATAGGGCGTTTTGAAATTAATCAACTGATAATTGGAAGAAAGTTGATACATTATTTCTGCAAAGAAGTCTGACAATAAGAAGCAAGGTGACATGCAAAAAAGTTTGATTTCAGGTATCTCACAATCAGGCGAATCCACCAGATACTATTATTCTGAAAGTCAGAGCTCTGAAAGAAAAACGCCGGTGGTCGTGGCCGAAGTTCTAATAACGACAATTATAGTAACTACCTGCAACTACCTGCAAATGTTTTTTCTGGATTCATTTTCTCGCTTTTACTGTGCTTTATCGGGTTTTCTGTTATTGAGAGCAACTAATGAGGAGGGCGTTTGTGACAAAAAAGAGAATAAAATGTCGTCTCTTTCCGTTTCTCTTCCACAGCTCCGATTTTTTAAAAGCGGAATAATACAATATTCATCTAGTATTAGAAGTCATGAACGACTTTCGCTTGCAGAAAACTATTCAGTTTCTAGAAGACACACCTTAATTTACCTGACTTCCTTTAATGATGAATTGGAATTCATTTGATATCAGTTATCATCTAATTCCGCCCATTGAAATGTCAACAAATGATAACATGTCATTCATAAAAAGAGTACAGTCTCTTCACATTCTCCCCCCAGAGAGTATGGGTCAATATTTAGTAAAAAATCGAGGAAATTCTCCTGATCTTGCTAACCTACCAGACACGGTTCATAGGGAAATATTCAAGTATCTGAAGCCATGGGATCTGTAAGTTTTCATTCAGTATTAAGGCTATTTATTTGTAAACTTTTTTCCAGGTTCAAACTTTCTCGAGTATCAACAGATTTGAAAAACTTGATAAATGGAAACACAAGCTTCACAGTTAAATTTCATCACATTTGTCTAGATGAAAATGCAATATCAATGAGATTAGAAACATCTGATCGATATTTGATCAATTGGACATTTTGTGATGCTTCAAGAAAACCATACTGGACCAAACGATTCCTCAATAAATGTCACTATGGAAAGGAGTTTCATATTGATGGCTATTATGAAAACGTCGCACAATCTTTCCTATTCGTTTTCCAGAATATTGTTTCTATATTCAAGACAGATGCAAATTTCAAAGTGGGACAACTTCTCATGCATCCCAGCCGTCTTGACTTACTTTCAAGGTTACCAAATGATTTTCTGAAAAATATGAGCTGCGAAAAATTATCCATCAAAAGTACGAAAGCAAATCAAGAAACAGATAGGAAGAATTCTATGGACTTCGCAAAACAAGTTTTGAGCACATTTCATTTGTTCAAATACTTAGAAATTTCGTTCAGTTCATTAGATGGGAATTTTGAATATGAGAAGGTACGCTTTAATTTTTGAATATGAGGTACAATTATTTCAGCAATTCGAAAGTCTCGATTCCTCAGAATTAGATGATTATTTCATAGAAAATCGTTTTGATGATATTTACTTGAATTTTTTTCTCAAAAACTGGATGTTCACAGAAACGAAATCTATTATTTCGTGTCGGATAATAGAAAAACGAATTTTCAACCTGGAAGTTATACTCGATGGCTTGGATACAACACGATGGGATGGAAGGAACTGGTCTGAAATGTAAATTTTTCTTTAGTTTATTTTGGATCACAGTCGACTATTTTCAGAAGAAACTTCTACAAAGCAGGAGCCGAACACTCATTTAATATGACAAGAGAAGACAAGAGCTATGCTGTGATTTCAATTTCCATAAGAATAGGAAACGGATGGAACGAATTTGGAATTCTTTGCTTTTATTCAGACAAAAAGTAGGGATAAAAGTTGAATTATTCATTGTTGTTAAACATGTTTGTTCTGTAAAAAACAGGTAGATACGGCCACAGTAATCCATCTAATTTTCAAATATTTTCATCTACAGTAATCCTTTTCATTATCAAATAATTTCTCCTACAGTAGTCTACTACATTTTAAATGTTTTCTCCTACAGTATTCCTTCTTGCTTTCAAATTCCGTAAAACCTCCATTATTCTTTCATGATAACTTTTTTAGGGCCCTTCTTATACAAGGGCCGTTCAATTAGAGATGTATTTTTTCAACCATTTTTTTCTGAAATTGTGCATCGAAAAATTTTCTGAACTCTCGGTCAGGATTCTAGCCAGTTTTCCCCAATACAAGCTTCTTTATTCTCCGTTATCGTGTAGATCTTTCTGATTCGTGCTCGTCTGTCTTCCTGAGTTTGAAATCAACTTGAATGGAAAAAGACAACGAGAAAGTTTTATATTGGAATAAGTTATAGACTGGAGAAAGGAAAATTCGATGAAGAAATTTATGGGATAACGTAACGACTGGAAGAAATGGCTTCGGTTGCCTTTGCATACTCCCAGAGACGGTGAACGAGAAAGTATTTCATGCATTCGACTGGAAATTCACATAATTAAATGGTACCGATAAAAATAATAAATACCTCCAATAGAGAGTCCAGTGGCAAATTCAAGAGTGAATCCGGAGACCATTCCAAATACAAAGTTATCTTTGGCGCTTGTAACGTTTGAGATCATTTCAATATCACTTGCATCGAGACCTGTGAAGTTCCTGGAGAGGCCAGAAGCAATGTAACTGGCGAAAACGACTGGATAGATCAGGAAACGTGCGATTGAGATAAGGACGCACATGAACTGAAAGTTAAATAATCGAGGAGATGTCAATATACACAGTTTCGAATTAATTCATTAAAAACTGCGATTGAGATAAGGACGCACATGAACTGAAAGTTAAATAATCGAGGAGATGTCAATATACACAGTTTCGAATTAATTCATTAAAAACTGACAACAAAAAGCAAGCTTTAAGAAAAAACACTTACAGTAACCCTCTGTGACCATTTCAATGCAAAGACATCATTTTTGTATGCTCCAAACAGCAGAAGCAAGTCTAAAAGCAACACACAAATATGCGAAAGTCCGACAGTAATTCCATGTGCTATGAAAAATTGAATCAAACTTCGAATCGCTCCAAAAAGTGCCAATCCACAGACTAGTGGACGAGCTGGCATGCAGAACAGTTTTGGAGGGTCCATCGGAATTTGAGTGCTCATTTTATATTCTGTAATACAGTATTTCAATTTATGAATTTAAAAAGTACGGAGGTGTATCAAGTTTGATATGAAACTCTAAAAAGAAAACTCGAATAAAAATGTACCAACAATGTTGAAAAAAATTACGAAATATGTTGAAAGGGATAATCTGGTTTAAAACTCAAAAATTCGAACAAATGTGTAAAACAGTTGAAATTGAAAATTCAAACTTTGCAGTGTTCTTTGAAAAATATGTTTTATCGTGAAATGGGCCCCACACTTTGAGCTTATTTTTCTTGGTTCATATGCAAGATTTCAACAATGTGTCAACTAATAAAATGTTTGCATTATTATGATGAACAATTCATCACTTGACAGCTTTCTAATATAGGAACCGAGATAAATTTCTTCAAAGTTAGAAATCTACGAAATATGATAACTACATTTCAGAATAAAAAATATGTAGTTCTAGACGATATCAAGTTGTAAAAAATTATTGAATTACTGAGTGAATGATTGATGTGCAAGGACAATGAAGATTCTAAAAAATCAGATGGTATGGTTCGATTTTCAAGTAACTGGTTTCCTGAAAAGGTAGTTGTCAGAGAAATCGATTTTCCTATCTCATAAAATCTCCCAAAAAGACATGTTAACCTCTTTTGTACAACCTTATAACGACTCGATTCCGTTATAACAAACTCCAAAATATGAAATCAGATCTAGCGGGATTTCAATGGTTTGCAACTGAAAACGATAAAATGAGTCATTCAAAAGATGGAAAAAAAACCATAAGAAGGACATTGTTGAACAATGAGAGAAATAGGCAAAACACGGAAAGAAGAGGAAGAAGAGGAAGAAGAAGATAGATCAAAAGAGATACACGGCAATGACATCACATTCAATGTGTCCGTGATCAACACAAGTGGACGAACGACCGGTTTCTTCCTACTCGTTACCGAAGAAGATGAAGAAAAGGGAAAAGTACTGTGATAATAACATAGGTGTTGTAATGAAATCTTCTAACCATATTCAGATTAGACACGGACTCGTTGTGGCTCTGGAAAAATATTTGAAAGATACAGAAAAATTTCCAGAAAACAGGAAAAGTATTCATTTTTGTATAATAATAGAAACCTTCTGTACCATCCCTTTTCAAGATACGCAGCAGTTGAAGATATCCAAAACTCTGAAATCATCACTCTTGCTCCCAGTGTCGTATCAATCACACAGTTTTAATGGAAAAATTCTCCAAAAAAGTACAAAAATAAAGCTCCATTTTTGTTTAGGGCAACCAATACATATTCAAAAATCAAGATCAAGTAGCTCCTATGACAGCCACGACCCGAGTGAAAAACAAATCAATTAGCGTCATTAGGATACAATTTCTTCTCGGTTTTCAAACTACAATATTTTGCATAGAGAAGCTAGCTCGGCGAGATAATCCTCTGATGGCAATACTACAATTAGTGGATGAGTCACCGTTTGGCTCATTCATTTCGAGAGTCTTCGTTACCTTTGACTTTGCCACAACAGGCGAACAATTTGAGGCACACTTCAGAAATCGACTTTCGCAATTTCAAAAATTTCGATTTAGGTTTATTAATTTCCGATTTGGGATACTCACTTCGTTTCTAAAATTTGATTGGCTGTACATTAGCCCAAAATCTCTAATAAAGGAGCATCATGTACTTGACTTTCCAGCTCAATTATCTCATTTCTATAATAGATAAATAAAACTTGTCAACTAATAAAATGTTTGTCATAAATATCACCAGCATATTATCAATTGAAATATTCTTGATATCTTGCATTGCAGATAATTGAGCACAACGTGGGAGTATTGGGTGATCTTCTATTAGAGTTATTACGGTAAATTGAAACTCAATTGAAGCACGCCTGAGAACACCTAATGATACGGTTTCTGAAAACTGGAAATACATTTCGGAGTCATTTGTTCTAATCACCCTCCATGTTACTCCAGTCTCTATTCGTGTAAACATTTTCTCATGCCAACTCTAACATTTTCCACCCAACACCCGCCAATTAAGCCGAAGTACTCTCTGCATACACTATTTCAAACAACTTTTGGTGATATCAATCTCTATTTTCTTTTTTCCCACTTTTCGAGTTATCTTCATTCTTCTCTGGATTTTGAAGACTTTTATAGTACCTCCAATTTCAGTTCAACCCTCTACTATGTCAAGCATTGAAAGCGAGAACGAAACTGAAAATGCATCTGAAATTATCGAAATAGAGGAGTCCAATGTGCCCCAACGAGAAAGGACTCGAGCGGAAATATCAGGCGATTTTGATTTGGGACAAGTCAGAGAGGCCGAGTCGAGACACCTTCAGGATATTGTTGTATGGATGAAAATTGGCACGGAGGCGTCCACCATGTTTGATTCTGTTCTTCTGATCATCTGCTTCTTTCTTCAAAAATGGTTCCATCATGCCCTGGTAGAGTTGAGTATTATCCTTTCAACGACTCTTCTTGCCACTCATTCCATTCTTTTTCTATTCCATTTGCATCGATTGAGGACTATTGCATCGATTGATAACAAAGAAATCAACATTCAGAAAATTAATATTTCTGAAGACAAAAACGCTCGGCTCTTCGTTCTTCGCTTTTTCGCTTTCTTCCTTCAAGTGATCCTTGTTTTCGTGATTGTGGGACCTCAGTATCCAGTATTAGTCGTCTTCATTTCGATTGGAATTTGGGCGTACAACTGCTCCTACTTCTATGGTAATTTAATACAAAAAAGTTTAAAAACGGTTCGTTTTTTTTCAGTTATGCTTGTCAACAGAAACTGGATTCAATCGTTGATAAAGGAGCTTCCGGCACTAGTGGTTGCAGATGAAGAACCATCGTCAAATCAATAAATGATATTCAAGTAATTTTCTATTCTAACCGTAATGTTCATATGTATTCATTCATTTTTAATTCATATGTTCTTATGAGCAAATTTCTTATATTAACATTTTACATTCTCCAAAAATTTTTCCTAATCAGAATTGCCGGAACTCTCTAATAGAAGGCCATCCAATCCGTCAACTTTGAATTCATATATCTCGGTTCCTGTGGAAGATATTAAAAAGTGGCCAACTAAAAAAAATTTGTTATATCATGAACAATTTGTTAGTTTACCATTTTTTGATATCCTTCAAAAGAGCCAAGCTAAATTGGCTCAACGCCAGCGGTTTGGGGGGACTTTCTATTAGAGTGTTTACGATAAATTTCACAAGATGTTTGAATACCCAACTTTTATACTTCTTTATATACATATTTCTTTCTTTTACAATTTATTTTCCAACGTATTGAAATGTTCTAACTCGTTTTCACGACCCCCATCTATATTTTCAGCCATGTGAATTTCAGATTTTCTGAAAATAACTCTCATCAACAATTGTCGTCACTACCTGCAATATTTGATTTTCTTTTAATTAAAAGTTACCAGTCAAACAAAACCTTTTTTTCTCATATACTGAAACAAAAAAAAAGAAAAGAAAAAAGTCGTTGTTTATTGGTTTTATTTAAAAAAATGTGTTCACTCGTGAATAAGTCATTCGAAATGTATTCCAAGCTTCTGACTTATTGAGTAAATCTGAAAAAATAAGTCAGCTTTTTCATTCCCTTTTGAGTTTGCCAAACATAAGCTCCTCCTTGAATTCAAGTTTTTAGATTAGTTCCAACTAAACTTCCTATTGGTCTCGGAAAAATTCAAGTTCAAGTTGCATGGCTTCTGTTCATTTATCATCTGTCTGAGCAATTGCACTGATTCTTCCTGTTCTTGAACATTGCCCTTTGTTTGCCCTGAACTCCCCTTGTCACACTTTTCTAATGAACCAGTTTATACAAAAAATGTTCCCCAACTGAAGAAAAAAAGTCAACTACAAGGTGTCGAAGATGAAGTTCGAAGGATTCAATTGGGGGATAAAAAGAAAACAAAAAATGATAGGAATGAGCATTTGATCAAAGGGAAAAGGTTCAAACAGAAGAAAAAAGAGCGAATGGAGCGGCAAAAATAAAATACACAGGTAAAATGCGAACGGATCCGTTACGGGGCGCTCAGCGTTCGCGCGCGGTTGAAATAGGAACCGTATACGGAACGCACGCGACCCGTTTTCAGAAAACCACAGCAACTTAAACTTTTGTCTGATTCGAGAACGGATCCGTTTGTCCATCATTCGCAAGCGGATCGGATACGGAGTTCGCAAACGGATAGAATACGGAGAAATACGAAATAATGTGCTGTGGTTTTCTGAAAACGGGTCGCGTGCGGTCCGTATGCGGTTCCTATTTCAACCGCGCGCGAACGCTGAGCGTCCGTAACGGATCCGTTCGCATTTTACCTGTGTAATTGATGGCTCTAGTTGACATATATAGATTGGAATTCACGAAAATGGTCACGGGGGGAAGAAACAGAAATGAATGGGATGTGGGATGAGAGGAAATGGAAACAAATTGGAGAATTAAAAAACTAAAGAAGACAAATGATAGAATGTCTTTCAAAGTATCACAAGAAATGGATGATGATTGAATAAATTTTTGAGAGAGAAAATAAGGAAGCAGATACTAGAAGACAAGTAAGCTAGTACAAATGCAAATCATGCAATCAGAATGACACCGACAGTTTTGGAAGAAAAAGAAAAAAGATCAAAAAACGAAGAGACAGAGAGATCAGAATATCACAAAAAAAGTTTTGAATTAAGTTGGCTCGGTAAAGAGAAGGGTGAAATATACTGTTTAGAGTAATTATTCCATAGAAGAATTCCATAGAAATAGCACGTGTTTGAGTCGGTTTGGCGGTTGAAATCTGAGAAATAAGATTATTTTAATAGTGGGGTGGGGCATGAAAAAATAACTGTCTCGAAATTTTGTTCATATAAGCATCTCAGGGAGTTGAACTGGTGGGACGAGTATTGAAAGTGCGGCGCCACTAGCCCCTGAGCCTTGTGGGCGAACCTAGTGCAGCCGCCCGATGGCATGCATAAAATAGCTGTACACTAAACCTCCTTTACCGTTACGCCAAAATTCATACCCTAACAAGGAAACCTAATGTATTCCAAAATATGACAGCGTGCATAAATACTCATTTGAATGCAGAAAAAAAGCCAGCCGCGACTCTTTTGTTTGAGAAAACGAATGATCTCTTTGTGTTTGTCAAAATGTGCTACACTGAACTCTTCTGAAGGTGATGTGAAGTTAGCATTAGGAAAGAGCAAAACTGGGATTCTAGAGGAGTTTTTTGGAGTTAGGGACAATTCATACCCTAACTTACAAGGGAACCTTTTAAGTGAAGGTTGGAGTTAGCAGAAACCACCTACATAGATCGAAAGAGTATAGCCAAAAACTTATAAATCCGTTTTCAAAGTCTGCTTACGAGACCTTTGAAGTGCTGAAATTTCAGTTTCAGTGCCAAAAATCCCATTTTCAGTGTAAAATCGACAATTTTCAAATTTGATTTTCTCCACTCCTAAGATGTTTTAGGACTCGAAACTTTTTGTGTAATACTCAAAACTATGTGAAATTTTATATTTCGAACATTTTCTGAAAAAAAAAGTATTGTCGGAAGTTTTGGAAACTTTCAAAATTTGCCTAGATTTTCGCTGGGTCCAAAAAAATGTTTTTTTTTGGAAAATGTGGAAAATGTCGGAAAATTGAAATTTCACATAGTTTTGAGTATTACACAAAAAATTTCAAGTCCTAAAACCTCCTACACAAGTGATTCGCGAACAATCCGTTACGGACGCTCAGCGTTCGTAACGGATCCGTTCGCATTTTACCTGTGCTAGGAGTGGAGAAAATCAAATTGGAAAATTGCCGATTTTACACTGAAAATGGGATTTTCGGCCCTAGAACTGAAATTTCAGCACTTCAAAGGTCTCGTAAGAAGACTTTGAAAACGGATTTATAGGTTTTTGGCTATGCTCTTTCGATCTATGTAAGTGGTTTCTGCTAACTCCTACCTTCACTTAAAAGGTTCCCTTGTAAGTTAGGGTATGAATTGTCCCTAACTCCAAAAAACTCCTCTAGAATCCCAGTTTTGCTCTTTCCTAATGCTAACTTCACATCACCTTCAGAAGAGTTCAGTGTAGCACATTTTGACAAACACAAAGAGATCATTCGTTTTCTCAAACAAAAGAGTCGCGGCTGGCTTTTTTTCTGCATTCAAATGAGTATTTATGCACGCTGTCATATTTTGGAATACATTATTCTTCTTCTTTTCGTTGAAAAGAAGAGGAAACGCGGATCGAATTGTGATGTATGTGTGCGGTTCTTATTTGATGAATTAGCATCTCGTATAGCATTTGGGCTCTCTAGCGTTGTTCTCAAAGCCTACACCTTTATGTTTTTTCCAGATGGTTCTTGGACTACAGTAATTATTTTTAGTAAGCCAGAAACTGGGAACCAAAAGATTTTGATTGATTTAGTGGCTAATTTTGAACTGATTTAATGGCTAATTGTTTTAAATAAGCCCACTCTATACGTTCAGCTCAATTATCTCGGTTTCTTCAAAAGAAATCAACACTTTGTCAACTAATAAAAATGTTGGTGACTTTATGAAAAACATTTTCTCAGTTGACAAATTTTCAATATCTTTTAAAGGAACCGAGATAACCTAACTTATAAAAAACAAGGAACACAGCAATTTAATAAATTCTAGTTCTGTGTGTTGTAACACATTTTCATAGCAATTCAGGCAGGTGTAAAAACATATCATCAGCTGGTGCGTATGGCGTAACCCAAATGTTCAAAACTCCCAATAACAGAAATTCAAATTCCAAATTTTGAGTGTGTCATCTCCGATCCACTCACCATTTTTTGCAAACTACAAATTTATGATGAATAACGATTGTTTTCTTGAATGACCGAGATTCAAGATTGTTTGATGTGGGGAGAGCTCTGAAAAAATCCACGTAGTCGTCAAAATTTGAAGCAACAAACCGTTACATTCAGGATGACAGAAGACAATGCTTTTAATTCTGATAGTTGTGATGGATTTCGGTTTCCTGGAATGTTGTTTTCCTAGAAACATTTTGAAAACAAAAACACTTACATCGTTTTCTCTGGGCGATGCACTGGCATTCAATGCGTTCAAACGAGCCATTTCCCCCATCTCGGCACGTTGAGCACGCTCGGCACGCTCTTCTCGCTCTCGCTCGTCGTCGACTGTAAAATGTTTTTTTTGCAGTGCATGAAACATAGCTAATCAAAAATGTACACTTACTAGTTGCTGATTCGTTGACACCAAATGAGTTTCGCATGTTCTTGTACATGGTAGAAGTCAAGAATCGAGGATAACTGTCTCTGGCCATCAGTTGATAAATCTGAAGTTGAGCCTCCTCGAAGGTATGTGGAGTGGGACGAGACATGTTGGTGTTGACGATCTCACGAACTTTGGAATCCAGTGAGACCTCTTTTGGGGAGAGAATGGAAATGAAGTCCTCGTAGATGATCCTCGCTTTTTCTTCCATTTTTTCCGAATTCCTTTCTCGTTTCAGCTCTTCACATGCTTGCCAGAAAAGAATGTTCTCATCGGAATACTCACTTTTTAAGAAATCCGCGAAGTATTTTTGTCCGGTTCTGTATTTCATCAGTGTGTCAAACGATAGACTCCAAGAATGCACCATATCGAACGACACTTGCTCACTAATTACCGCCCGTTGTGGCGATACAGTTCCACTGTACTTGCGCCCAAATGAGCTACACCAGCAACCCATGTAGCCCATCAGCTGGCTTCAAGTCGCAGCCGGAAAAAAGGAAAAATTAGTTGAGAGGAAAAACGAAGAAACGAGAAGGAATAAAAAGTAAAAAAAAAGAAACGGGAATAGAATAGGGATGAGATGAAAATTAAAATAGGGAAATATAAGAAATAGAATGAAAAAGGAAACACTGATGAAATGAAAATGAAGAGGAGCGAATCGATTCGAAATGGGGAGGAAGAAATATATAAGACGTCGCGACGTGACGCTGTGGAAGACGGTGAGGGAAAAAAATGGAGGGGAGAGAAAAAACGGAGGCGCCGAGAGAGATGAATATTTGTGAGTGGAGAGGGCTCTAAAAGCGAGAGAGAAAGATAGAAAGAATGGGTGAGTGCGAGTGCGCATGGAGCAACAACGTAAAAGCACATGAGAGGAGAGGAGCCAGAAGGCAAGAAGAAGAAAAGTAGAAGAAGAAGAAGAATAAGAAGGACGGCTTCATACAAAACGGCAATGAAGAGAGAAGGCGTCTTAAGGTTTCTACGTTTGTAATTAGAACGTCAATACTTCTGAATCTAAAAAGAAAAATGACGGGCAGAATAGAAGCAATTGGGTTTTTACATTTGCAGAAAATTCAATCAGACGGAAACTGACCACTTGCGGCCGTTGCTCAGAAGTCAAGAATAGTAATTCGATATAGATCATGACATAATTTCGAAAACTCTTGAAAATATAGGAGTCTATGATGTACATGCACACACACATACATATGATCTTGAAGCGATTATTCTGGAATAATGAAGTTGGGGGGAAATGGGAGAAAAAAGGGGAAGCAAAGGGAAGAAAGGAAAGAGAAGAGGAAGGGCACAAGTAAATCGGCAAATAAAACATTGCTCCAGGATCGTCTTGTAAAATGAGAACATGCGGTCGACAACGAAGGGCTATGCAAAAAACGCTACCTACGGAAACATTACATTTGCCTCTCAAGTTTGAGCTCAAAAGGAATGACTTTTGGAGTATAACGAGTGTTGCGTATTCTTGATCAGTGATGCTTTCCCCGAATCAGAACTTAAAATCAGAAGCCCGCCCACGCCGTGAAACTGAAGCTCAATTATCTCGAATCCTGTAAAAAATATCAAAAGTTTGTCCACTGATAATTTATGTAACTTAATGTCACCAATATTTTTTTAGTTGACAAAGTTTTGAACTCGTTAACCAGAATAGAGATAAGTAAGTTCGAAATTGACGGCTTCGTTGGGCTTCTACTAGAGGAAATACGGTAGTTCCTAGATGCTCTGAATCTGTTACAGCAAAACAATCCTACAAGTTTTCCTATTAGTCACCTCAAACATGTTTCTTAACATTGCTTGAATCAGAAGGTATTACAAGCTTTTCGACGAGCAGTTTTGCGTTTTCAGTCGCCTGATTATTTTTCTGAAAACCGCGTTGATGTAGCTCACTTGGTTACATGACTCAACGTTTTTCTAAATGGGTCGAATCTGGGAAGGAAGGTAAACCGTATCATACAAGACAACCCGATATCTTCAGAGGGGCACAGGATTCTCGTCCAAAGGTCACCGTGTCCAGAGTTACCTATCTTCTCCAATTGAAGCCCACTGGCTCATGAGTTTCAAAAAACGGCTCGGCAAGGGTACTGGTAGGGCCCGCAAAATACATGCGTACCTCTCGCTTATGTTTACCGCGTTCAGCGGCACCGGTGCCTCAAGTAGAGGCAAATGTGCCAAAAATTTGCTGATACATATTTCCCAAGTAACCAAGATTGCTAGGTAGAACTCTTTTGCTCCGAGGAATCATCAGTGATCTCTTTTATCTTTACTTCACCCAATCCTAGAACAAACTAACCTGGTCTCAATATCCCAGCTATTCTGAAGAAGAAGATAGAAGAAGTTAAAGTTACAACTCTCTGAAGAATAGCTCGAGAGAAGAGTGAAAAACAAGGGTTAAAGGTACCAATCTTGATGTAATGACAGGTTGCATCAAGATGTATCTAGGCAACGGAGCGACATGATGTGATTCGAAAACAGAAGGCACCCTATCATCCACCACCAAAGACTCTGTCTTTTCAAAAAGAGTAGATTTCAAGAATAATGGGCGGAGCCAGAAGCTGGGGATGGAGGAGCTGAAAACGACGAAAAAGGAGAAGAAGAAAGCGACTATGCCTACGGTATTCGACATTCATCACTCGGTCGACTCTCTCGGAAATTGGAATGCATAAAAAACTTTCTTAATCGAAAAGAATGGGAGGGATACCAGCTCGCATTAATTTCCTGCCCTTGTGAGTGAAGGGAAACAAAAAGTTTTTGATTGGAAAACAAAGCAAGAGGAAGGAATCTATCGTGCCGAGTAGTTCTTAAGAGAGATTTTATGAGCAAGAAGCAAGTTGGGAGAGATTCAATAAACCCATAAAAGAAGTGGGCGTCGGACTCGATGACGTTAACAGTGCGTTTCCATGCTACTCGAGGGGAAACATGAAAGAAGAAGCTGTAAGAAATGTTAAAACGGGAAATAAAGGATTTTCAGAAACACGAATACTGATAATGAGCTAGAAAAAATGATTAAAACCAAACTAGGTTACTAACTCATCTTCAGATAAGGCATGTTTTGATAACCGTATTCGCGGTAATCAGAACAGAATTTTACCGAAAATCGTAGTTTGTTTTTGTTTTCAAATGAAGCTGCTGCCACATTCGAATTAATTGGGTCTAGAGAGGTTTGTCCTGGATCATCGCATGAATTAAAACAAAAAATACTGCAAACTATACTTGCAAGGGCGGGGCTGATTTTTTTCAGAATTTTCAATTTTCCGTCCCGGCCCGTTTCGACACCGGGCGTACAGTAATTTGTTTCCCTGTCTTTTCAAAACCTTTAAGAAATTCAAACATTTTTTCAAATGGGATAACCAGTGCCCACCGGGCCGACCGAACCCACAGGCCGGGAGCTGATTTTCCAAGTTTTGAAATAAGGACAGCAGAAGGTTGTTTTCAATATTTTCAGAATATAACGGAAGCTCCAAACTACAAGATATCCCATATCTTGTCAAAAATTCCTAGGCGCATTTTTTCTTGTCGAATTGAACAGAATATTTCAGATCATCATGAAACCTAAAGTCTGTGGTTTTTCTAAGGAAATGATTCAATTGATTTTCTGTTAATTCTTACTACAACAAAGTTACACTGATATTCTCATTTCTAGATGATGACCTTTTTGAATGTTGCCATTCAGAATTTCTCAGAATCAGCATTTCGAAAAAGTAAATTTCTCAGAATTTCAACCAGACAATTAGTGATTTCAAATGCTAGACACGATGATGATCTTTCTTTTCTAACATTTCATTTTCTGAAAAATCTAGAATCAGAAGCACTTGACTTTGAAGAAAGGGAAAATATAACTTTAAGTAATAATTCTGAAAAATCTCGAAAATTTCATAACCATAAACTGTTGAACTCATGGAAAGAGAAAACTGCATAAATTTACATAGAAAAGGTTTCGAAACGGAAACTGATTATTGATTGAGAACCTGCAAAAGTGGTAGACAGAAAACATGGTATTTCAATGGAAGAAAAATGAACAGTCTATCTCTCGGAGACAAGGATGAAGATATGTTTTTGTAGAAACAACAAGCTGGGGCCGAAAATAATTAGGCTACACAAAATAGATAGTGAAACAATCGTTGGTTTGATTTTTTTAAGAGATAAAAATAGATTTTCTGAAAGTTTTGTCTTTTTATCATTCGGAAAACTATAGAAGTCCTATCAGGTTGTGCAATTGTAACTGAAGAATGACTTTAAAAAAGAGAAAGAATGCTTTAGAAAATGTTGCTCGTTTTTTCATATCCGGTGGCATCCGGTTATTGTTGATCAACTGTACATACACCACCCCCTCCCTCCTGACCATTGGAATGACAAATTCTAAGAACTTCAAACATGTAATTATCAAGTTTTTCTCTAAGAAATATTGTAGTATTTCTAGAAATCTGTTTTCCATCAATTATCTGAACTATGTTGGCACTAGTCAATTGAAAAAATAATTAACATGAATCATTTGATATTTGAAGAAAGGTGTTGCAATTTGTGTTGTTTTCGAACTGCAACAAATGTCGGGAAGAAAAGTTGAACAACTTTGAGACGAAAAATTGAGGGATCTGAAAATTTTCAGACAGCTTTGTATGCGGCAATGGGAAGCTGACGGGTTGACTGACGAATAGTTTTATCAGAAACCTCGAAGCTAGAAAGATTATCCGAAACTACTTCTGGAATAAGACCGGAATTTAAAGTTTATTTTGATTAGGTTTCGATTATTTTTATTTCTTTCGTAGATATAACGTATTGAAGATGCGTTCAAATCACGCTAGTTTCGCTTCTGGATCCACTTTTCCGAGCTCTAGTAAGAGAGTTATGGGATGTATTATTGTTGTGCGAAAAAATTGGAGCGAGAGAGTATTTTTTGCAGTCTGAATACGGTAGGCACCTCGAAGCGACAAGCCTAAATAGCGCATAGTCGGTAGAGACGCAGAGAAATATTTCGATTAACTGTCTGCGTCTCAACTCCAATTTTTTCGGACAACAATAATATATAAGACACACGCGCGGAGGGGGAGAGGGGCGCGCGAACCGGCGCCGTAATGACTCATCCATGTGATGACTCATCATGGGTGGTCTTCGGAGGGGTGTTCGGAGATTCTTTAAGAAAAGTCTGATCTTTTTAATTAGTTGTAGACTAATTTATATTTTGTATATTTATTTTAGAATTAATTAATTCCTTTCAGGTTTTATTAATTTATTTAATAATACATGTTTTTGAAGGAGTTGTAATTCTTGTGTGTTTTGTCGGATAATTTATCAATATTTCCTTTATTTGTTTCCTGTTTCTATTGTTTTGTTTATTTTTAATCATTTAATTTGAAATTTCAATGAGGTTTCTTCAATGGGGTAAGAGAACCAATCTTTTAATTTTGTTTCCATTTTAACTAGTCTGACTAAGGAAAATAACTTCAGTTATTTATTATAGGAATGATTGGTCTTCAGAACCGTATTTTGTGTAAAGTTGTAATTAAATGCACATTTAGAGTGGAAAAAAGAAATTCGTAGAAAATAATATCAAAATGAGTTACAAACAATTCGTATATTAAAAGAATTTTCAATTTATTAGGTCGCATCTGAATTAAAATACATAAATGTTACTGTTGCACGTGGTACTTTCTCATCGAGAATGTTGTTTGAGTGCAGCACACACCGAATAACGTCTCGAATTGTGACTTCTTCGATTGGTTGAAACTTAGCACCAAAATATCCAGAGTGATCACCACCTTCAATGGAAATCGATACAATTGTCTCCTTCTTGGTGAAGGGGTTGTGAGATTTCATCAGCGCGACAATGTAATCACAAAAAACATTTGCACCGGGCTCTGTCAAAATGATACTTCTTGACATCTGGAGTAGAAACTCGATCGACTTCATCTGTCCATTGCTTTTGTCAGCAGAAATTTTGTCAGTCTTTCTCAATACATGGATTTTGAAAAATGACTCCTAATTATTATTCATTAAATATGATACATAAATAAATTTACTCACAACTTCACAGAGTTCAGATTCTGGATCATTAGAGGGGACAGTTGGTGATTGTTGTCCTTTACCATCAAAGTGCTTTGGATTTTGCATATTCAACAAGTGATCCATTATGCCGAAATTTAAATTGGTTCAAGTATAGAAGAAAAGTAAGAAGAGAATCCAACGGATGATTTAAAAAAAAGTTTGAAACAGAAATACATACAACTGAAGCTTGAAAAACTAATGGTTGAAAAGGTGAGTAAGATGATCTTACCTATTTTCCATGACTCATCACTAAAAAGAGTCCAAAGTTAAGGAAATTGCTAATTTCTACTGAAAAAACAAGTTACAGACCCTTTTCTATCAGACCTCAATGTACTGACTTTCTCCTCATTTTTTTTGCGGTGCGCAGAAAAGTGGGCGGGGCCTTCCGGTGTTGCTTCCTTCCTATGTTTTAAAGAAATTGGTCTATGAATGATATGGAAACAGACGCCTAACATTTTTCGGCGACAGTAGATTTTTTTTAGTTAGGATTGTATTTAGTGGCAAATTTTGCGCAGAATCTTATGGTATAAAGAAAATCGGGGGCACCCCCCCCCCCCCCTGTTTCACCTTCAAAACTTCCAAAAACAGGAAATTTTGAAAGTTTGGGATTTTGGGATAGGTATTAAAACTACTTGAAGGTTATCAGTCTTTCTGAAAATTGACACAGGTGTACACAAGACTTAGTTGGCAAATACTCATTAGCTTGATGATCTTTTGCTAAATGCTCACTTGCTAAATATGCTCACTGTTAAACTCGCTCATTTGCTAAAATAGTCTCATTTGCTAAATTTCATTTGCTAAAAATGAAAAAGTGAAAATTTTGCTGTTATTTGCTAGTTTCAGTTTTATTTTGGCTGGAACTTTGGCTGAAAATTGTGTTTTACGGCGACAGTAGAAATTCTATTTTATTTCAAAATCCAATCCCCCAGTTCATAATCTACCAGAATCCATCAACAAATTTGGGGGCATCCCCCCTTCATCTAACAATTTTAGCCCATTTTGTCACTCCGACTCCTATTTTTCGAAGTTTTCGAATCAAAATAATGAAAATATTGAAAAACTAATGGTTCCATTCGATTTTTTGCAGTCGATTACGTGGGGACAAGTTTTAACCCAAAAAATAATGAGTTTCTAACGCCCGGTAGAAGACTTCAAAGATTGACTTATGAAAAGGGAGAAAAATTTGGTCGCCCCGCCCCCTTTCATTGCGGCGCCTAATTATAGGTTTTTTTTGAATTTCGTCTCATTTGAACGATCTTCCTATGATGGGGCGTCAATTTGGTTGTGATGCTTTCTGTGGTGTTTCTGTCTCATTGTTTGTTTCTTACACAAACTATTCTTACTTTGATTACAAGTGTACGGTGCTTCTTCATTTATTCACCAGGCGGCATGATACCTCCGACACGTGTAGAATAGAATATTCGAGATTACAATTCAACAAAATATTAGACAAACTAGATTGCTGCTATTAGATAACAGGGTATGTTGGGAAACATTAGTGGTTAGTAACTGTTGCGGTTTGAATAATCTTAAAGATCACAGTTTGACAGTCTGTATTGAAATGCCTTTGGCAAAGGCTTAGCCGGGAACAGTTCCATCGGTAGTGAATTCCAGAATCTATGTACACTTTTAGAGAGTATCGGTGAGGAAAGTTTTGCTGAGTTCTGCAAAATTTGATTATATACAATAGTCACAACATTGCAGGGATCTAGGTTAGTTCAAAGATCTAGTTCAAAGATCGGCTTCTCGATTAAAAGCTTCAGTTGTATGTATTTCTGTTTCAAACTTTTTTTTAATCATCCGTTGGATTCTCTTCTTACTTTTCTTCTATACTTGAACCAATTTAAATTTCGGCATAATGGATCACTTGTTGAATATGCAAAATCCAAAGCACTTTGATGGTAAAGGACAACAATCACCAACTGTCCCCTCTAATGATCCAGAATCTGAACTCTGTGAAGTTGTGAGTAAATTTATTTATGTATCATATTTAATGAATAATAATTAGGAGTCATTTTTCAAAATCCATGTATTGAGAAAGACTGACAAAATTTCTGCTGACAAAAGCAATGGACAGATGAAGTCGATCGAGTTTCTACTCCAGATGTCAAGAAGTATCATTTTGACAGAGCCCGGTGCAAATGTTTTTGTGATTACATTGTCGCGCTGTTGAAATCTCACAACCCCTTCACCAAGAAGGAGACAATTGTATCGATTTCCATTGAAGGTGGTGATCACTCTGGATATTTTGGTGCTAAGTTTCAACCAATTGAAGAAGTCACAATTCGTGACGTTATTCGGTGTGTGCTGCACTCAAACAACATTCTCGATGAGAAAGTACCACGTGCAACAGTAACATTTATGTATTTTAATTCAGATGCGACCTTATAAATTGAAAATTCTTTTAATATACGAATTGTTTGTAACTCAGTTTGATATTACTTTCTACGAATTT